GCCGCTCCGCGCTGGGCCCCGCCGGGCCGGGCCGGACGCGCCGCTCCGCCGCAGCCGCACGGTCCCGCCCACCCCGCCGCCGGAAGTCACTCGCTGATTGGTTCGCCGAGGAGATGGGCGAGGCTTGCGCCCAATTAAGAATGGGGGGCGGGCGTAAGAGCGCTGATGGAGGCGTGCGCCGGCCAATCAGAGCGCGGGCGGCGGCTCTCAGCGGACGGGGCATCGGACAGGCGGCTGCGGAGGGGGGCGTGACAGACTGCGCGAGCAGCCAGTGGGAGGGCGGGACTGAAGTAACGACGAGACTTTTCCACCAATCGCAGCGCGCTCCCGCGAAGGGGCGGAGCCAGATGCGATCGGCGCGTTGATGGGCAGGGCGGGCGGGCCAATGGAGCTCGGTACGCGCGGGGCGGCGGGGCCGCCATGGCGGAAGACGAGAGCGACCAGGAGTCGGAGCGGCTCAGCGAGGAGCTGGAGGCGCTGGCGGCGCCGGGGCTCCCGGCCGGGCTGCCCGCTCTGCTCCGCAGCCAGTACTACTGCCGCCGCTTCTGCCAGGTGAGCGCCGCGGCGCGGGGGGCAGCGGCCGAGCGAGCCGGGCCGGGCCGAGGAGCGGGGCGCGGCCCGGGGGAGCGGGGCCGGGCCGGGCGGGCAGGGAGGCTCCCGGGGGGAAGGGAGGGAAGGCGAGGCGGGGGAGAGCCGGGGTGGCCGCGGGCAGAGCGATCCCGGGCGGCCTCGGCTGCGCGGCGGAGAGGCGAGGAGGGCCTCGGGAAGAGTTCTCGTCTGGGCGAGCGGCTAAGCCAGGGTGGTTTATGATTTTCGGGGTTGTGGCCTTTGAAAGGCAGCGTTTTCTCGCTGCGGGCCCGGGATCCCCGTGCTCCTCGCAAGGCGTGCCTTGCGAAGTGACAAGCACCAACAGGTTGCTTCTCCTGGTGGCTTTCATCGGCAGGTTGATGGGGCATTAGGTGCCCTCGGTGTATTCCAGCCACGCCGCTCGCTGCTGCCCCAAACACAGCCCAGAGGTTCTTTTATTGAACTGCTTCATTTTATCAACTTTTTGACTTTGCTCACCGCTACAGCTGCCTTCTGCCGTCTGCAGAAACGTGGTGCCGTGTTGTCACTTTGTTCCTGTTTCATCGTTCAGTGGAAACACCGCGTTTGAAATGTTATTTACTGTTATATGTGCTTACAGGAATCTCGGGGAGCATTCTGCTCACTAAGCCCGTGGGTTGCTTCTTGGGGCTGTTGATCCTTTCATCTTCTGTTTCATGATCTCCCAAAAATTGCAGAGCTAGTAAAAGGAGAAGCCAATGTTTTTGGAAGTCTGGCACTTTCTACAACTGTAAGGAATGACAACCATGTTTGATTGTGTTGGCTGCTTGGAAAGAGTTACTTTTGCTCAACCCTGAGCGTTCTGTCTTAAATTTTTCTCTCTGTGCCTACTGTATGTTGAGTTTGTTGTGTTGAGCAAGTGCAGACAAGGTGATAGCTTCATGTACTAATGCCAATCCCAAGGAAAGGTATGAATTAGTAGGAAAAAGAAGAGGACAAGAGCAGAGGAAGAATTTTCCTGTGAAACAGTTTTATCACAAGTGTTTTATATGTTCTATATCTTGTGTTGACTTCTGCAGGTTTTTTTTGTGTGTGTGTGTGTGTAGGGAGATTGCCAAACCCTCTCCCCTACTCTGAGTTGATGAACTCCAGAAAAGCAGGCAATGTTCTGAGTATGTAAAAGGCTCTGCTCCTTTTCTCTTAAGCTTTCTTTTCAACAATGCATAGTTTAAATAATCCTGATGAGGGTAAGTTAACATATTAACAGGTTTTTTTTTTTTTTGCTTGTTTTGTGTAAATTTGGCCTGCTGTGAACAGCAGTCATGTGCTCAAGGTAATCAGTGTTTTGTTTAAACATGCTTTTTAGTAATGGGGTTTTCTGCTGATTTAACTACACAAACACGAGATCCTAAGGGTTGTGCTGGTGTGAAAAGCCTGTAGCTGTGTGACATCCATGGACTGACACCAAATGAAGTTGTCTGTGCTCCACATGAACTCATTTTTCCTCGTGGGATTGCCACTGTGTAATTATACATGTAAAATATATTTGTACTTTTTTATCCAGATCTTCTGAAGAGTGTATTTGGCTGAGCCTTCCCACCTCACTCCACTTTGCACTGCTAACACAGTTTTGTTTGTCTTCATACTCATTTGGCCCTTCTGAAGGTCCTGGTTTGCCTCCTGCACTCCTGGGTTTGTGTCCTAAGTGGAACAGCAGTTGTAGAAATAATTGCTTGGTGATGGTGCAGTGAATTTGGACTCCCCAAAAGAAACATTTTTATTTTCAGAATAACAGCCTCTCAAAACACTTGGCTGTGCTTCAGACATGGTGCTGGAGCTTGCTGTCACCTGAAAATAATATTGTTTAGATTGC